AATGTTGTCTTCCAAATAGTCCAGCGTTTGTGGCTTGTCCGCATAGACCAAAGACTTTACATAACCCCACAGAATATAGTCTAGCGGTGTTAAATCACAAGATCTTGGAGGCCAATTCACAGGTCCAAAACTTGAAATTTGGCGGACACCAAACGTGTCTTTCAATAAATCGATTGTAGCACGAGCTGTGTGACATGTTGCGCCGTCTTGTTGAAACCACAGCTCCTGGACATCATGATTGTTCAATTCGGGAATTAAAAGGTTAGTAATCATGGCTCTTTACCGATCACCATTGACTGTAACGTTCTGGCCATCATCGTTTTTGAAGAAGTACGGACCAATGATTCCACCAGCCCATAAAGCGCACCGAACAGTCAACTTTTCTGGATTTAACGGTGTTTCGACATAGACTTGAGGATTAGCGTCACTCCAAATGTGGCAGTTTTGCTTGTTGACGTAACCATTCAACCAGTAGTCCGCTTCATCGCTAAACAAAATTCGCTTATGAACATCGGGAACAACGGCAATCTCGTTTTGGGCCCATTCAACGAATCTACGCCTTGCTTGATGATCGTTTGGCTTCAATTCTTGCACGAGTTGGATTTTGTAAGCACGCAAATCAAGATCCTTCCACAAAATCTTCCATAAAGTGGATGGACACAGATCCAATTCCTGTGCTCGATGGCGGACAGACTCATTCGGGTTTTCCTCAATGCTACGCTCTACAGTAGCAATAGCTTCTTCTGTAGGCACCGTACCGCGTCTCTGGGGATGCGAGTTATCAATTAGAGTAAACGTGGTGCGAAAACGTTCCATGGTTAATCGAATTAACTGCTCTGATGGACGATTTTGTCGACGATAAAATAGACGTAGTGCGCGATACGCATTCCGTACAGAACCATTATTTTCGAAATAAAACTGCACAATTTGCAAGCGTTGTCAGGCGTGAGTCTATTCATGATGAATTGCCAAACCAAACTGAGAATAAATTATTTGACAGGTATCAAATAGGTCGCCATTATCAAAAGTAATTGCAACTTAAAGTTCTATACCGCGAAAAAAAATACACGTTATATATATATATATATATATATATATATATATATATATATATATATATATCCATCCTTTAATTTCTTTAGGTAGAAGGCAAAGTATTGCAAAAGAAATTAAAGAATATTGTCACTTAACAGTTAAGGCAATTAACTATGAATACTATAAATATACAGGGTGTTCCGCAAGGTAAGTGACAAAATTTTTCAACGTGTTCCTCAGGTCAATTCGAGTGGAAAAAGTCGTATGAACATCGGTCCGCAAATGCTTCCTTATCGAGATAAGGATTTTTTCATTTTTACGGTGCTAATGGTGGGAAATCACAATATTGTTGGAAAATTACTTTTATTTAACACAAAATTACTAGGCACAATAAAAATAACGTTTCATAATAGTTGTACAAAGTGTACACCTTCACACTGTAAATATAGTCTAGCCCGTTTAATAATGTGACTGGTGGCTTTCCCGAAAACAAGATGACTACTTCGGAGCAGTTCAGCCTTAGTATGCGATTTCTCTACATCCACTAAAGACTTCATATGTCCAATCCAACGCCTAGGGAAAGTGTTATTTAGATACTTTTTGCAAACAAACACCAGCGTATGAATCGGGCAGTACAACATGAATGTGGACTTTAATTATTGCAAACAGTTGTTTGCATACGACCAGTATTAATTTTTTCGTTAAATAAAAGCAAATTTCCAACAATATTGTGGTTTTCGCCCACTAAAAATAAAAAAATCATATCTTGATAAGGAAGCATTTGCGGACCCATGTTCATACGACTTTTTCGACTCGAATTGACCTGAGGAACACGCCGAAAAATGTTGTCCCTTACCTCGCGCGACACCCTGTATATAGAGAAAATGATCATGCGGAGAAGGGTGTATAACAAAAAGTAGGAAAATAATGGGCAAAATCCGCAAAAAGGAGGATAGTGGATTCGAGCAGAATATAGGATAGGTAACCCGAGCGATACGTACGAGTATTTTTGCTGGTTGGCTTCATCAGGCCCGAAATGAATGCACACATGAAACTACAAAGGTAGATGCACATGCTCACATATCCGGATACGGTGGTAACCTGAGGAAACAAAGGTGGAGAGGGCAAAAAACGACACAACAAGAGCCAACCTACACATTGTAGTATAAAATGGGTAGAAGACCTCGAATTTTCAAGGCGACATCTAACCACAACCACGCGGCCGGTTATAGCCACTTGCTGTGGCACTTCAAGCCCAAAAGATTTGCAAAGAGAAAATTCATCATTTTCTCTTTGTAGATCCTTTTTCCTAGCACCTTACTCTCCCAAACTTGTTTCACCGGTATGTTGTCACCCATTCTCTGCAAACGTCCCCACCATCTCAGCTGCTTCATTTCTATGTGTTCTAGTATAGATGCTGTCTCTCGCGTTTCTTATTTTGTCCATTTTGGTTACCCCTTTAACTCGTCTCAAGTATTTCATTTCAACTGCCTGAAGGTTTTTACTTTTTTGTTGTTGCAGTAGAACCCAGGATTCGCATCCATATATCAATGTAGGTCTAGATATTGTATTATACACTGTCATTTCTGTTTTCTTGGCCACCTCTTTTTTGTTGATAAAACCTTTACTCATCGCATACTACAAGTTGTTTGCCTTTCCTATCCTTTCAGAAGTTTCTATTTCATTCCTGTCGTTAGGTTCCAATATAGCTCCCGGATATTTAAAGGAGTGCACCTGTTGTAATTTTACATTATCTATTCTTACGTCCATAGTGAGATTTTCATTTGACACAGCAATAACTTTAGTTTTAAGTTTATTTAGTTTCATACCATTATCTTCAAGTAGGGGAGACCGGGGACAATTGTACCATTTTGCCTATATTGTTCGCATGTTCTCAAATTATAATGTCTACCAGTCAGCAAGGTATGGCTGAAAGTAACGTAACTAATAGTCTACAAAATGCGGTTTTTGTAATGCATGAAACATAATACGTTTAGAAGTTATTTAACATTTAAAAAATAATGTAAAATGGTACAATTGACCCAGCCCCTGGGTCAATTGTACCAGCTAAGGGGGTCAATTGTAACATCAATATTTAATATATTTTAACTAGTTTTATTGATCAAATTTAAACATTACCGCAGTAACCAACTCGGCAAATATATAATTTGTACAAATACTTTGGCATAAAACATGAGCATTCGTATTGTCACAAATAAATGAGCAAATACACAAGAAAAATCTTTAAAAAACAAATATTTAACTTAAAACAATATTTTGGATTTTGTAATTCACAAATACCTATATCTAATAATAAAGGGATGTCGGCAAACAAAAGCTTGAACTCTTTATTCAAGCTAAGAACAATAAAAGCTTAAAAACGGTAAACGCAAAATAAAAAAATATGAAAATCAATCTTGTTTCTTTAAGAGATACCCAACTCAGACAATTACTCTGACTCACAATTGTGACAAACATAGAACAAGTTTTGTCCTACACACTCTTCGTGTGACCACATCTTGCACTGTGTGCACTGGATCCATTTCTCGCCCTTTCTGCTATTCCCATAAGGTTCGACGCAAACTAGGCAAAAATATTCATTTTCGTCTTCACTGCTTTCTGCCGATCCAGTTTTTTTCTTTCTAGGAACTTTATTATTTGGTCTATTTCCCTGACTGCCTAAGTTTCTTTTTACTCGCTTTTTTTCTCTTTCCTCAACTTCTTTCTCTATTTCTATTTTCTCTGGGGTGTCTGTATAAATTGCGGACTTTCTTTTTTTCCTTCCTTTCTTCCATTTCTTGGTGGAGCTTTGGAAAATGGTCTAACGTTTTCTGGGGAAAATACAACTTTTACGAATTCTGACGAAGTTGGAGTGGCTTCGTCATGAACTTGTAAAAGTTTTGCAGGTGTCCTGATAAGGATCGCATCTGCTCTTCCTTCCTTTAAACGAAACGCAGACAACGGAATATTTTCGTCACTATCTGAATCAATTAAACAGGGGATACCTGTATTGACACCTTCTAGCTCAGCAGGAGGCTTGCTGTTAGCTGTTTGCTCATTATTAACAGTCAGTTCTTGGTTTTCTGATGGCTGTAAGGGTCTATCAGTAACAAATGATGGACCAAAATCTGTTTCAGAAAATATATCTCTATTGAAGGGAAAAATACCTGTACATCTAAAACCAGCCTGAATGTTACTCTGTGTTAGTGCCAGAGGAATAGCTGTTGCAGTGATCCCTGGGATATCATATATCGTCATAGGTTTCCCTGGATGATTTCGAATCCACGCATCACAACTAGAATTTATAGCTTTCTTGAGTGGCCCATATACACAGCGGTCTAGGGGCTGCAATTTATGTGAGCAATGTGGAGGGAACGAAAGCATGACGATACCATTCGTTCTACAGAAATCCAATGCTTCGATGGTGATGTGCGATGAATGGTTGTCTAGTAGTAGCAAAACTTTATGGAATTGAGATGAATTGGTATGATGTTGAAAATGCTTCAAAAATACTATGAATTCTTTTTCTTGCATCCATCCAGACCCATTACCGGCTCCAACGCAACCTTGAGGACCATCCCGAACAAAATGGTCTTGATATCTTAATCTTGGGAAAACAAACATAACTGGGATAGAGTTCCCTAGCGCATTAACGGCAACAGTCAGCGTAACCAGAGTGCCACGTTCTGCCGATGTGATAGCACCAACTTGCTTAGTTCCAGTTTTAGCTACAATTCTGTTTGGCTTCTGGACTGTAGTAATCCCGGTCTCATCGGCGTTATAAATATCTTTCGCTTCAAACTTTTCACGGTCCATAACTTTGGCCAGATTATAGAAGAAAGCGGCAACATTGGTAGGATTAAAGCTAGTAGCCCTTGAGAGACTTGTTGCCTGTGGTGTTCTTATAGATAAATCTTTATGCCTGCACATGAAACCAGAAAACCAGTCTTCACCGGCTAAGCCACTTTCAGTCCATTTTTCGGGCATTTTTAAATTATATTTTGTTGCTATTTGCTGTGCCAATTTTCTTATATCCTTGGGCGACAAACCTTGATAAATATCTGCTGCTTTCTTGATATATTTAACCATTTCGTTTTCTTGTTCATTTGAAAAAACACGATTAGCGGGCTTGTATCCCATACTAACTTTTGTAATGCAATCGACTGAGTTTTCTCTTTTCTTCTTATAACGTAATAGGGACACATGGCACAGACCAAATTGGGCTGCAGCTGCTCGAATTGACGTTCCAGACAGTACCACATCATATGCAGATTCATATAAAGATAGATCACGTGAGGCTCTTTCCGTTTTATTAATCCTTTTCCGTGGCATCTAAAATAAAAAGAAAACCCTCTTCGAAACAAATACAAATCAGGGGTCAATTGTAGCGGTACAATCGTCCCCTGACGATTTGTTACAATTGACCCCAACTGTCTTTTTAAAACAAAAATGGATTTTTCTGTAATATGCACTGCTGTGTTTTTTGTGTAACTCTTACAGAAAGTAGTTAACACTACCCATAATCTAATTGAGAAAAAACATCAGGCATATTATGCAGTAAAAAAGAACTACGAACATTTGAAAAAAAAAATAAAAACTTACTTCTGACGTGCGGAAACGAACAAATACACTTAAGATACAAATGCTCTCAGCGATGGCCGCCGGCACACTGAAATCAGAACCGCAGTTGTTTGGTGACGCGCGCATCCGAGCGAAGTTTATATAGCGGTCTCACTCTAGGGCATATTTGAAATGTTACAATTGACCCCTGGTACAACTGTCCCCGGTCTACCCTACTGTGTTCCAAATGTTCAAATTTTCCTGTAGACTCCCAACACTACCAGTTACCAACACCAAATCATCTGCAAATGCGCACTCTGCTAATTCCACTTTTTGCAACGTCCTGTATCCAACAAAAATTGGTTTTGTTCTTTGCCTGCAATGTCTTGATCTTGATCATCCATAAATACTGTAAACAATAGGAGACTAAGCCCTCCGCCTTGTCGTACTTCCTCTGAAATAGCGAATTCTTCGGGCATCATATTTCTGGATATTACTCGGATGTTAGTCTGGTGGTATATACTGATGATCACTTCTACTAATTTTATAGGAACATTTCTTTTCAGTAAATTCACTTTTAATTTTTTTCGTGGAACTCTATCAAAAGCTTTCTCCATATTCATGAAGGCAAGGTACATTGGTTTTCCTTTTGGTAAAAATTTACTTATCAAGTTTATAATAGTAAATATGTCATCCTGAGTGCTTCTTCCCTTTCTGAAGCCACTTTGTGTTTCAGACAATGGCGGCTCTATTAACTTTCTTAGTTTTTTCTCTATTATGTGTTCATAGGCCTTGAGCACTGTATACAGCAGCGTTACTCCTCTGTAATTATTACAATCTATTTTGTCTCCTTTCTTGAAACGTGGTAAAATCAACCCTGTTGTCCACTGCTCGGGTATTGTCTATTGTCTATATGTTTTTGTGAAGAGAGGATGTAGTATTCTAATAAGAGTTTCATCCATATTTTTCAACATTTCCCCTGTCATTTTATCTATTCCAGGTGCCTTTCCATTTTTAAGTTTCTCCAATGCTTCTGTTACCTCGTCTATTGTTATCTCCTCTTCTTCTATACCTTCGGTGTTTTGATGTGTCGTGGTACCGAGTTATTATCTGGTTTGGTGACATTCTGTGAGTTCAACAAATCATTAAAGTATTCTTTCCATCTAGCTAGTATTCTTTTGCCTCCATAATCATAACTCCATCTCGATCCATTATCCCTGTTGCGTCAGTTGCTGGATTTTGTCTATTTCGAAGTCTGATATTGCTTCCCACCTATGTACGAAATTCCTCTTATTTCTGAGTATAATACATCCCACTCCTGCAGCAGCTCTTTCCTTTGTATCTACGCCACTGTATATTAAAATATGCCCGTTGCCTAGATTTTAAATGCCATTTCCCTTTTTCTTTGTTTCTGTTATTACCAGAATTTCTATTTTTGATTTTTCAAATTCACTAACTAGCTCAGGTTCTTTGCCATTTATGCTTCTTATATTCCAGGTTGTCAATGTCATGTATGCCATCCTGCAATCTTAATTTTTTATGTTTATACATTCCTTATTCGTTTCTATTACCGTAGCCTGTTTCGTCTTCCTTTTCCAGTTTTTGCTTAGTTTTTTTGGAATTCGAATACAAAACACTTAAAAAAATGAGACCGGGCTAAACTTTTTAATTATTCCGGATAGTTCTTCGTTACTCCTTGATAACTTTGTTCTCGTGCAAATTTTCATCAAAATCAGTTCAGTAGTGCTTGAGGTATGTGATATTAAATATTAGCGTGTTTAAATGAAACGCACTGTATTTCCGTTTCGGACCATTCCATAAGGATTTCACTAAATGTCAGTTTGCTCATGGAGCACCCTATGTACCTTCCTGGCCCTTAGGGTCAGTTGCAACTGTCTGGTAACCTATCTGTGATGTTAGTAATCTGGCTACGGTCCTGAGGAAGTTTAAACTGAAAAAGAATGGTGTTATCACTTTAGCCTAAGAATCAGACCATATGAATTCCGTTTACACAATGGAAAGGTAATAAAATGAGACAATTTTAGATTATTTTGTAGTTGTTAGCATTTGTGAATATTGATGGGTCAGCATCTGTAAAGGTGAAGCGTACTAATAAAAAAATAAATATTTAGTAAATCTACTTATCAAAAAGGAGAAACTTTTATAGCAAAATAATACTTAAGAACCTCAACCATGGAAGGTAAAGTATAAAATCAAAGCTTACAGGTATTTCTTCCTCTCGCAAAACAGGTACTGTCGGAAGATGTCAAAATGGTTTCAGATGTCAAAACCTCTGTGTCGATAAGCAAAAGAATTCCTCATTTCTTTGACGGAAAACTTTGAGACCCAACGAGATCACAGAGCTCCATTATTGCCTTTACAGTCCGTAAGAGAGGTATTAGGTAGTAAATAGGGTTTATACCAGCTCTAGCGTTTAAAAGGTAAAGTATACGCTTCGTAAGGTTGGTTGCAGAAAAGCATAAACAAGTAGACCTTGTAAAACGTGCTGGGATCTAGAAGTATTAATTAATGCGGCAACCATATGCATCACTATGATTATTTAACGTTATGACGTAACTGATTTCATTCAGTGAATAAACCATATGTGTTATTCGAGAGGATATGCTCGCCTGACGTCATGTCACCCTCAGATATTATAATAATAATAATAATTAACGTATTTTATTTGTAATATTCTTACAGGAGGCGAGATTTAGATTATATATCTATTCTACCATCTAACCCCCTTAACAATACGAGATGTAAAAAAAAAGAACTTGTTGAAAATTAATAGGCACCTGTATACGATAACGAATAATCCAGATAAATACATAAGGAAAATATGAGGACACTTATGGGTTACAACCGATTTCGCTGCTGATCAAGAAGAACTTCTTTCACTTTTTTCTTGAATTTGGATAATGGATTGGTTTCTTTTAAACTGCGGTCTAAAGAATTATATGATTTGATCGCATTGTAAATCTATGAATTCTGAAATAGAGACGTGCTGTGGCGTGAAATTGAAAAAGTCTAATATTAATACGATGCATATTCCCTCTACGTATGAATTTGTTTACTAAATATGACGGTGTTTTTGAATAAAGAACCTTATGAGTCAGATTCAGGAGCTGGTACTCATACATTTTATCAATTTTCATCCATTTGAGTTCATTAATGGCATTCGATATATGATCATATTTTCTGACATCATTTACAAGCCTGCAACATGTATTCATAATACTTTGAATACGATTTCTTGTTATAATATCTAAATAGGGATAGTAAACCACTAAGTAATACGGTATCTTTGAAAATACGAAATATTCACACAATTGCTTTCTCGCAGATTTATGTAATATAGCCTTATTTGCAAATAAAACGCTGAGAATAGTGTAGCACTGAGTAATTAGATAGTTCACGTGTGCAAAAAATTTTAAGTCATCATCCATTATAATACCTAGGTTTTTCGAATGATCCACAGGAATTAATTTATTACCTTTTAAATGTATGTCTATGTCCTTTTTTAAGGTATTCTTTTTTGTTCTATTTGCGTATACCGTCTTCAAAGGGTTCAAACGAAGATTATGACTACTACTGAACTTTTCAATTTGGGAAAGATCTTGATTAATGTTATTATTTGCCGTTTCCAAGTCATTACTCCTAAATGAATAGAGAATTTGAGTATCATCTGCAAAAAATTGTATGCTGCATGATTTTACCTATGTTTCTAAATCTGAGATATACAATGAAAATAATAGCGGTCCTAAGACTGATCCCTGTGGTACATCAGAACAAGTTTTTTGTTCCGTAGAGTACTGTTGATTTAGACGAACCTTTTGATACCGATTTTCAAGGTAGGTTTGAATAAACGAAAGAGGTTTTTCAGAAAATCCATAATAACTGCGTTTAGATACAAGAAGTGAGTGATTAATGGTGTCAAATGCTTTAGTAAAGTCAAGAAGTATGAGAGCTACTGCTTTTTGGTTATCAAGTGCCATTGTTATATTGTCTGTTAAATCACAGAGTGCCGAAGCTATATTATGACCTTGTCGAAATCCAGATTGTTTAGATGGAATAATTTTGTTAGAATATAAGTAGGCGCAGAGCTGCTCGTAAACAACGCGTTCCAATACTTTAGAGAAAATTGGCAGTAGACTGATCGGTCTCAGTTGACCATAGTTAGTAGGATCAGAACACTTAGGTAGCGGAATAACTATAGCGCGTTTCCACTGATTGGGGAAATATCCCCTCTCTAAACAGCAGTTTATAATATGCGTTAAGTACACATCAATTTCAGGTATACATAGTAGTATCATATGCAAAGTTATTTCATCTGTACCACTAGAATTTGATTTTATTTTATGTATAATTTTAACAACGGTGTCAACAGTCACTTTATTAAATTGAAATTTGAATTTTGAGTTACT